AAAGATGTTGCTTAATCTCCTACAGCAGTTAATAGGTTTTGTATCATTACTAGCAGCAGCACTTAGTGCTTAAGAACAGCTGTTTCTTTGTTAGAAATATTTTTTATTGTTAACAATTAAACTCTTGTCAAGAGGCAACAAGTCTACTGAAGCCTCTGGTTTTCTTTGCAACCTGCTGAGTTATCAGCAAAACGAATAGGCCACAGACTGACCTTCAAGCAAGGTCTTGCTCCAGAGACTGGTGAGTGCTGTAACTTCAATACAGCCAAGGGCAATAATACCACCACAGAAGGAACTCCCTTTCAAGCCTTCAAGGTAGCAGAGATGACATAGTGGTTTTGGATTATTATCATTCTAATTAAAAAAAGGGTAATTAAATAGTTAGTGCTACACAATGTGAGACAATCAAAAAAAAAAAAAAAACTCCTCACAAGGTAAGGAAAGAAATACATTGTAAAAAGATATTCCGTGAGGAGGTTACTTCCTGAAACTCCAGCAGTCTTGAATATCTCACAACAGCTGTTGCACGCTAAAAGGACTTTAATTTCTTCGTAGTAAGAGAAGCTTTAAAACACTAGTTACATTGTTTTCTAGACCATGCATCGGTACTGAAATACCTTCAATGCATGAAACATTTAAATCCTTGTTACTTATAAAACAGGCAGTCTTTCCCCTTCTAAAAGACTATCACTGGCACCATCCAAGACTTCTTACTACTTTTGCTTTAAGCTTGATGTTTATGAGAAGACCAGAATGGGGACAGGTTTTCTTGCCCTTTGAAAGCTTTTTGATTTATTACATAACTAAACATGTTTGTACAGCTTTCTCCATATTTACAAATCCTTAATCCAAAGGATGTCAGTTCAGGCAATAATTATATGAATAAATTGTAGACAGTCTAAGAAGGAAAGAGACGGAGAGACATTTAGAATTAACGTGCTGTGAATCAGTCCTACATCATCCTCTGTCAGTGGAATTAGCAGGCTTTTCTTCCCTCTTCTTGTTGCCTTTTAGCAATATTTTTCAGTGTATTTGACACATTTCATCTCACTCAATGCACTGAAACCTAATACAAAAGATACCAGTTTGTCAAACATACATTATTGAGGATGCATACCAGTTAATCTTAGGCAGCTGACATTGTCGAAGACAAGCCACCCTGGCAAGAGCTACAGAAATGCTAGCCAAAGAGGAGACAGGGATAACAAGTGCACAAGCACAACTGCTGAGATACCAAGCAACACAAAAGGCCAAAACCTTCCAATTCCTGTCTCAATTTCCCCCAAACCACAAATATCTTACAACAATTTCAAAGCACACATTTCCACTGCTGTTGACAAGAGAAGCTGCAAGCCTGAAAAGACTAGTCATCCACCTGGCATAGGATTCAGCATCGGATACTTGAAGAGCTGGATGAGAGTAAGACTTTATTCTGAAAATAATTTTTAGTTTTTTACATCAGTTTCACAGAAGCCTCTCGGAATATTTGTGGGTCAAAGTAGAGTAGACACTACAGTATTTGTAATCCAGGATAATCACATTGATTTGCTGCTGTGGACATCAAGAAGTTCAATCCTAATAGGTTTTTTAAACAATAAACAAAAAAGTATGTTACAATAGCAGAACTTCTAGGGGCACCAAGCTTTATATTTTAGTGTTTCTTACAGCTGTTTTTAGCTCAAATGAAAATGATAAATACATTCGGTCTTCAAAAGGAGTACTGCCATTCAAAACTTGGCATTCTGGACATAATGCAACACACTGGTGAATACTCTCCCTAATTTTGCTGCAAATCCTTTGATATGAGTACCTTTTTATTTTTTACAATTTGGCTCAAATGCAGATGCAAATCATTATGGAAAATAAAGGATTTATTATAAAAGCAAAATTCTTATTTCTTCAATTTTCAAGCCCATTTATATTTTTTTAACATGGCTTCCTGAAATTAGGAAAGAAAAACAGAAATCAGGAGGACTATGAGAGCAGTAATGGCATTTTCTAAGTATATTTAATATGAACTTGCCATTAAAATGAATTTTTAAAAAATACTTAAAAAAACCCCTCTTGCATAATTCTGGTTTATTTTACATACAAAGAGTGTTTGAATCTAGTAGCTTTTAAAGTTTCCCACATATGGTTTGTTTTTGCTAAATGCACATTTAACAGATGTATAGAAAAATAATTAATTTTTTCATGTCTCAGCTTTTCTTTAAAGAAACCCCAAACCCCTGAGAAATAGAGATAAAGACTCAAATGAAGTACAAGTCCTTGAATTGTGTAACTGTTTTCTTTTGCACAAAGGACATCACATTGATATCCTTCCTATTAATTTCTGCAATGCCACAAGACAGAAAACATCTGCTGAATAGATCCTTTTAGAAAGAAAAATACATGCAAGACACACCCCAGGTACACTGTTCACTGCAAACAATTAAAATATTTCAGTGGTAATACTGCTATTTTACTCGGAAAAAAATCTACACAATATTAATTTCAAATAATCAGTAACAACAGGTACTTCCCCTATTAACAACTGCAAGAGCTGTATATGCCATTTCACCAATGAAAAGGTTCTGAGAAGGAATTTGTTCTTTTTGGATCAGAGAAAAAGAACCAGAAAAAACACCATTAGTGAAAACAGTCTTCGGCAGCACATTTACAAGAAATGCTTTCTCCCTGTGTAACTTCAGGAAGTAATTCTCTTTTTTTTCAAGAAAGGGTTAGGCTTTATGTGGGATTTATAACATGCCAGTATTTTAACGCAAATTCCCCAGGAGAGACAATAAAGAGGACTTAGGAGAAGAAGAAGAAAAAGTAGGAGAAAACTGAAGGAAGACCCCCACTGAATGTTTGCTAGTGATGCCTCTAGTCTGAAATTCAACATCTTGAAAAGTTCAGGTTAGAAGGAAAATATTTCGGTGTACAGCAGCCAGTTCAAAATAAACTGTCTATGGGTTCAGCACTGACATTATTAACTCAGAAAACCTCTCCGCTTAAGCAGCCATGTACATCATAGAGCTGCTTTCTTCTCACATAGGCAGCCTGTTCTGTTCTACAACAGTCAGTAGTTCCTCAAAAAACTTTTCTTTTAAAGACATGTGGTGCTAGAGAAAAATCATTCTTCTTCAAACTAGAAAAAAGAGGGAAAAAAAAAGAAAAAAGAAGCACCATTTCCACCTGATCCATGACATAATCTACTGCACTGGAGACATGTACATTACAAAAAGACATATAAACATTAAGAATAGAATCCAAGAAACATTTATTTTCCCTATTCTCCAGCTCAAAAAGCAGTTTGTACTGTAACAATAGTTTCAATAGAAATCATTGCCATCTTTACAAGAGACACAGCACAAAAATCATCCTGAAGCAGGCCAAGTTTGGAAACGTGACATCTCTGAGCAAAAAATAACATTATAGTCCAACACTAACTTCATAAGAAACCACCGTCCCAGAATGCACTGGTAGGACCTTTTAGTAAAGAAAAACAAATAAAACACCAGCAAATTTGGGAAGGTGTGTATAAAGAGAATGCAGGGATTTTGTTTTATGGACTTAAGCAGGTAACAGGTCCCCTTGCTCCTTGCTCTACACCTAGGCAGTTCCCTAAGTCTTTACAGAAGGAGGATTTAATCTCTTGGAACCAGTGTAAGAGAAAAAGGCATTGGTGGTGGACAGAAGAAGACTGTTCTACAAATAAAATTTTCCAAGCACCTTACACTGAATGGAACAAATACAAGTTTAGGACTGTTAATGCCAGACTCAATACAAAATCTCCACTTCATTTCAGTGAGCCTCTGACTCTATCTTCTACTGCAGCAATGGAAGAGAATAATTCAGGTACATTTAATCCGAACTGAATTATTCAGAGAGAGAGAGAATTTCTCCTACTTCCCAGAGAAACTCTATCAAGAAATACGCATGTAAAGTAATCATAACTGCAAGGGAGACACCAAAAGCTTTTCCTCCTCTGAAATGCAGTCAGCATTCTCAGCTGCAGGGCTGATGAGCATACAAAATTAAAAGAAATAGAAGCACATAATTAGTTTGACTTTAATCAATCCCCAGGAGGTCATTGTCAATCTGACTAAAATTAAATCTAAAAATTCCTTCAAGAGCTGTGCCTTAAGTTTATGTCCTACTCCCTTCCACAATTCATAATTAGATTTTAAAAAAATATAAACAAACACTTGACCCCTTCCATGCAGCTGCAAATTCTCTTTGCAAACATGTCCACATCTTGTGATGGTTTTTGTGATTGCTAGTGCTTACACTACTATGAAAAACTTAGTAGTAGTGCTTGGCTACTAGAATTTTTGATAACCTGAAGAGAAAAAAAAATTCTAGTTATTTTCCTCCCACTCCCCAAGAAAGACAGGGAATTTGAAACTAATGAAGTAATATCTACAATAAAAAGGAACATTTAATATTCTAGAGCAGAGCTTTAAATTTAGCATTTTATTCTTCTGATACCACAAAGCACAATAAGGAAAAAGGCTTCTTCTTTTCTTTCCATCAATACAATCCCTTAATAACTCAAATTTCAACAAATTTACATAAAATACTAGCATTATATATTTGTAATTGATAAACTGAGCCAGCAAGGTCATCAGTTTTCAATTACTTGTGGCAACTAGATAAGGTGATAGTGCACAAACTAATAACTGACAGTAGTCAGCTAATGAACAGGTTCATGCCTTATGGAAGTAATGAGCTTCTGGGTTCCATTTTTAATAGCAACTTGCAATCACAAATATGTATTTCCTCTTCTGCTTCATGAAGAAGTTTACTATATATAAAGTGAGATGCGCTCACCAAAAAGACATGCAGCATAACTTCTTTTTGCAAGGACCATACACTGTTTTTTCTGTTATGGAATCATTAGTGTAGTTGCAGGTGTAACAAACATGTTAACTGACTTATCACAGCAAGAGTGTTAACTGGTATGTCACAGCAGTTTTACATGCCTGTAAATGGGATCTGAGTAACATCATACTTACAACATCAAACTTCTGTGTGATGTTCCCCTGGACATCAAGTAAATAAACTTTGCCATAGTGTGTTCCCAGTGCCAAAAACTGTGAAAGGAAGAGATTGATTACATAAACACAAAGATACCACAAGAAATACTACAATGCTAAATGAACTACAGGATTAGCAACACTGGGGAAAACAAAAAAGCCCGCCACTTTCTATAGAGAAAGGTTATTTTAACTGCTCCCAAATAATAAAACAGGGTTTCAAGCCCATATTACTGTGATAGTGCAAGTTAGCTGTCAGAATGAGTCATGAGGACCCTCGTCTACTGACAACTAATGGTACGTCTGCAGTCTGTATACACCAGCTGATGGACTGTGGCAGCAAATTAAAAATGCAGCGTGAGAGCAAGAATCAACAGAGATCTGAAACAGTTCCTAGATCCTTTCTGCAGCTTTTTCAATCCTAATGTTTCCTTTGACCTTTATTTTTAATTCTCCTTCATTATTAAAATAAAAACAAAGTGTTCAAACACAGCAAAAGGCCAATGCAAGCCACTGGTGAAACACAGTTGAATTATGGAAGGTCTGTGACAGTGCATTTAAGCACACAGATAACTCCTGGGTTTCTTTTCCTTCACATAGTAACATTCCTAAATAGAATACTCCCAAGACAAATACACTGCCTCTTAAATCTCAGGAGTTTAATTCTAAAAAATAGTAGCAAAATAAAGAAATCTCGACATAAATCCATATTATCACAAACTTATTTTGATACAAACAAGAAAGAAATTGATTCTGAGAGATCTGCTGTTAATTTAACCATGTGAACTACACCTAAACAGAAAAGATAGAATTTCAGTACTACTTGATTTATGACAGAGGTTTCTTTTATTTGCCCCCTCCCCCACCCTCCCACTTTCAGCATTACTGAAATAGTCTAGGCTACTCAATTTTCTGTATTTCACTGCATGCGAGCATGCTTCATTGCAACCTATAATGAAATGCTCAAATTTACAGGCACTGCTAAGCGTGTCAGTCAGGCAGCACAATCTTTAAAAAATAACCTTACAGAAAGTCAAGGTTTAAAAGGATTTATCAAAATGGAATTGCTTAAAATGAAATTTCTGTTCAGGCACTTAAAATATGAAGCTACATTAAAAGGAGGCAAGAAAGGGAAAGAAGGGGTTCATTAGAAATTCATTCCCTGCAATGCCTTTCACTCCTGCAAGGTTGCCTTTTTTCAGGAAGAAAAAAGTCCCCCGGGTAAAAAAATCAATACTGGTTAATAAAACATCAGGTGTGCAGACATAACTAGGTATGACTATTCCACTGCACAGGCCTGCTTGAATGCACCAGGTGCCATGACGATTAGTCATCCAGTGCAGACAGCAAGCCTGGTGAAAATATGATGCTTTAGCAGCAGAAATGAAAAAAATAAATTCTGGGGGGAAATTAGTGTGAATGAAGAAGCCAGATCTCAGGATTCCCAGCAAAGTTATACTGCTTTAGTCAGAGTTATATTTTACATATTACTGTATAATTTTTCTAATGATACCATTCAGCAGGGCTTCTCCTGTTTGTTCAGGTAAAAAATCCTGAAAAAACCAACCAGAATGAAACAGAAATACCCTTGCAAAACCTATAAAACAGCCTCATTTTTAAGTTCTCTGTTGCAAGAGACCTATTCCTAAAAGACTGCAGCACCTGGCTTCTAACAATATTGATTCTTCTCATAAGTAATGTATCTAGTTTGCTGGAAAACTGAAAGTGCTGGGATACTTCAACAGTTTTCCTGTATTGTCATGCTTTGTGACACTATAGCAAAAGCTGTATCTGTTCACATCCTTAGAGAAAAATCCTGTTAAACTCTTGGCTTTCAAAATTTACCTGAGATGCAGGAATAAAAGGTAACAGAAACAGGCCACAGACAAAGAGGAAATGCTTGCCAATTTTCCAAATATCTGTGTAATTCTAAGTTGTCAAAAACATTTTTAAAAGACTTATTGTTTTCATTCACACAGCTAAAATACAAGCTTCATCTTAAGAGGCTCTTGAGCCATAGCAACAGTCCTCTGAGGAAAAGAAACACAGCACAAGTCCATCTAAAAATATAGCCAAATAATAAAGATAAATCCCTCAACACTAACTGTTAAGGAGATACTACTGGCTATGAAAAATTATATATTCAGAAAATAGCTACTATGTTTTACATATTAGTAGCTAACAAATCATTAACTCACACTTTCAGGTGGACTTCAGAATGCCTCAATATTCTAAAATGTTTTTCAGTATGTATAAAAGAGAAGAAAACTCATAAAACACAATAGCAATTGTTTAATTCACTAAAGAAGCACATGAAGTTTATTTATTTTAATAACAAAATATTAATTATTTTAAAAATTTCTTTACTTTGCATTGTCTATTACTTTATCCTTATTATGCCTCTGGTACATCAAAAACTCTAGCATGTGCAGTTCCTCTCTTTGTTTCTAACACAGTGAATCAGGGAAGTACGACACCCCCCAAAAGTAAAGCCTAAGCAAACAAACAATACAAGAATTACTTTCCTCTACACCGTATTGTAGATGTCTTCCACAGCCAAATATATATGCTAAGCTCCTGACATGATCAAGTTGGTCTTTCCTGACACGGCTGTACAATATATACCAACTTCCTTTCTGAATAAAGAAAAGTTAGGACTGTATCCTGATTGCATTCTTAATACTATTCATAATTAAATCTGAGTGAGCATTTTTCTAGTAGCTTATGTAAACATCTCATCTAACAAATCACTGCATCTTGAATTCTCACCTCATTTCCTCATTGAGAAAATGTGTTTCCCACTGAAAAACTGCTTGATACAAACAAAAAGAGAATTGATTCTGAGAGATCTGCTGTTAATTGAACTATGTGAACTACTTATTTTATCACTGAGAAAATGTGGATTTCTCAGGTAAATGGTGAATTTTGTTTAGATTACCACTGCCTTGCAGTGCAACTCTAGATTTGGCATCACTTCTACACAGAAATATACTGAGGCATTATAAGCACATATAAATATATAAAACCCATCAGAAATGCTATATCAGCCACAAAGTCACACAATACCTTTTCATGCACTGTCATGCAGCTGGCTGCATCCTTCTGGAGAATTTCAGTCACTCCATTAGAAAGCCGTTCATACTTGAGCTTAGGTTCTTCTTCACTCTCATCTTCCTAAATTTTTAGAAGTGTAAGGAAAAGGGAGCAAGAGAGAAAAAAAAATACTTTTAAGTTTATTTTAGATTAAAATAAATTAAAAGATACCCCGAAACTATCACACAGCAACAGGCGAAGATGGATCACTGCGATCTCTTCACAACAGCCATTACAACCAAAAGCCAAACTTTCACAGTTTAATCATCTTGAAGGCATTTGGGCTGTGCTTTTTTGTTACTGGTTTTTCTTTTTACTCCAAAGTTCTGAGTGCAAAATCTGTATAGCAGCGTGTCAATTTAGCTGTAGGAGGCACTTACTTGATATCTAAAAAGCAGGAAAAATGTGCATGTGTATTTTGCTACATAAAGTTAGTCATTTGCAATTTAGAAGTAAAATACAAAAATGATGGATATGATAATGAATGATGACAAAATAAAGTGTGCCACTGTAGCCACTATGAACTGAAAGCTGAAGCATGCACGGTACAAGATACTTCACGACCTTTACAAGATGCTGCACCTCTGTAGGAAGGATAGATGCAAAATGCTGTGAACAAAAATAAGAAGAATCCACTAGGAATAAGTTAATTGTATACAATCCACCATTGGGCTTATGGTAAAAAAAAATACTATAAATATGTTTTCTGGGAAGAGGATCTGGACACATTCTACTCCTATGGATCACCTTTTTCTTCTGTATGTTAGGATTTTTTTCTGGTAAATACTGAAGCATTCCTCTCTTTTCAAGCATGTTAGGTATTATCACCCAATCACTACTTAAACGCAAGGAAGGATCATAGAGCAAAGAGTGAAGAGAAAGGAAACTAAGCTAAAAAAAAAAACCAAAAAAACCCCAACAAACAAAAAAAACCACCCAAGCAGCAAATTTATTGCTCAAAGAAGACCAACATGCTTATCTCTTAGGAAAAGAAAATCCTAGTTGCAAAATAGCTCTTTGGTCATAGGCATCTATCTGTAACAGAAGGTCTACAGAAGTACAATGCCAGAGAGATTCCACAGGCTTGAGTAAGTCTCAGTTAATCTTATACATGCACAGACATACACAAACCCTTATATATCCCGTGGTCTTCACTGGGAAACAGTATCTCTGCAATAATTTTCTCCTACACTTGCTATTGACTGTAATGAATATATCAATACTGAGTATGTTTCCCACATAAAACATATCTTTCATTCTTAAGTAACCAGAATATACCAGTGCAGTGCTCTAGTTAAAGGAATGCCTTAACTTCCCACCAACCAGTCTTCCAATTCCTAAAAATGCAGTGTCAGCCTACAGCAGAACTGTATTTGTGCAACGCTTTCTTGTAGACACAATGCAAAAAAAAAAAAATAGGGAAGAGAGACAAGTTAACAGGTTAATAAAATGCATTTTGTTTCAATTGCTTTTGCAGTACTAAAGCCAGTCTTTCCAAAGTTAAATAATACAGCAATTTACTATGTGTGCTACCATCATATACAAAACATGTGCAAAACCTCATACAAAGCACAAAAAAGCCATATATACCTATGGAAACACCCAATATTGAGACCCATGCTTATAGAAATATGCTTCAAAGAAAGTCTGTTTTAAAATGTTACGTGAGAGTTTTATGACAGAATACAAATGAGATTAATACAGGGATGTCAGCAGTACATGACGTAGGATTATGAAGTGGGATGTCAAAATGTCCACTAAGAAACAATTTTATTCAGTAAATCTAACACTGAACAAAGTTGTTACTAGACAGATGACAATGTCAAATTACAGGTCTGTATATAAATCAGTCAGATTCCTCATGCCTACAGATCGTTAATAAATGGCTACAAAGTAGAGGAAGGAGGTGAAGTCAAAGTAAAAAGCATACATTTGATAGAAGGAGAGTGTAAGGAAGTATGTATCCATTTTTTAACAATTAACACATTACTACATTTCATACATTGCTTACAAAGATTGCACTTGAAATGAATGCATGGGCAATCACTGAATAAATTTATAAAAGTAAAAAATGAACTCCAGTCATCTAGTTTTTATAAGATCCCGCATGTTGCTGGAGCCAGGACATCCAGTGTGCAACCAACATGAAAAGTTAATTCTAGTCTCTGGAGTAGTTTGCATAAAATCATTCATCCATGGACCATTAGACAAAGTTACTGTAAATAAGTTTTACCTGTCTTATTTATGAGTGAAAACTAAGTAATTTTTTCTGCACATGCATATACAAAAAATATATACTTTCAAAAGTCAGTGCACCAAAGCATTCTTCCAGGCTTCAAAGTAAGTAAATAAAATGAAAACTCTCAAATATTAGGCAGGATGATGTACCTATTTCACGCTTTCTTGACGGGTATCTTCTATGCTAAATAAAAGTCAAGCTAAAAGGTGAATTGAAATGAGGTTGGGGCACTTTACTGTAAACAAAATGAAATAAAAAGGTGATTTTCAAAAATTCAAGATTACTGCTTCAGACTTTGATATATTAAATGTATTTGATGATCTCTTATTTAGAGTACCAGGGTTTAATAATTTTAAAGGTATTTTTCTACCAGGAAAAGCTTTATGCAGTTTGAACTTCTAAAGTAAACACAAGCCAGTGTTAATAAAAGCAAATCAATAATTTTTGTTAAATTTTAATAATCTTGAAAACCCACAAATTAAACCATGAGCAGCCTGAGTTGAGATGTCAGTTAGCTGTGTTTCTATGACAACCTAGAGGAATAGTACAAGTCCTGACTTGCAGCAAAGCTAAGATATAAACAGAGCAAAATTTACCCCATACAAGAGAACTCACAGCTTTCCTTTTCTTAAGGGAAAAAATAACAAAAAAATTTTGCTGCATTTACACGTATTTTTATTAACTGTATGACACTCAATCAAACCCTCCTAGAGGATTCTAAAAATTTAAATATAAATTTTCTAATACTGCTTTTTGTACCACCACTTAATACTACTTCAATATTTAATGCTTAAAATTATCTGAAATAACAATACTAAATTTTGAGATTCTTGACAAATGTTTTAAGAGAAAAATAAATGTTTACTGCACAGAATGTGTAAAGCACATTTTGTAAAGCACACATGGCAGCTTAAATTCTGAATGGCAAGAAGACCCACAGAGTTGTCAGGAGGAAGGTACCTTTGTGATGTTATAAAATAAATAATGACCATTTTTCAACAGCAGGAATGCTAACTTGAAACTCATACTCCATTTGATTTTCCACTTGCCTTTTAAAGCTAAAGCTAGCAGTCATATAGCTAAAATATGCTGAAAAGAACAGGCATCCATAAACATTTCCCACTGAAAGCACATTTCCAACTGAATGAAATACTCTGATTAGCCCCTAAGACTAATACAAACTCCTTCCTACCGAGAGCTCTTCCAAGTGTCATTGCTGAACACTCCCGAACTGAAAACAAACTCCTCATTCACCCAGCACCCATGCAACACCAACTCTTCTTCTGGAACTGATTTACAAAACTAACAAGAGCTACAAATGTGCAGTGCCATTTTGCCTCTCAACAGGCCAGTGCCACTGCAAGTGATTCTCATCAGCCTTTCTGAACTCAGGTTCACAACCTTCTTCAGATACTCTGCCCCATCTTTCCTGGCTTTGCCTAAGGAATTGCTGTGCTGGAACTACGAGTAGGAAAAAAGAAAAAAAATCTGAAGTCGGTTCTTATGAAGAAAATTTCCAGAAGGAACCTGTGGGCAGTTCCCAGAGTTACTCCATTAGCCCACATTTGCTCCTGCAGCAGAGGATCTGCCCACAGGACAGTCTGTCACATGAACATTGCTCTATTGATTACAGATACCCTAATTATGTTACAGGTACTGAAAGCAAAAGTGTCATCGTTCCCACACAATTTGCCCTCAAAGTTTTTCAAAGCCTTTATGGAAATAAACATTGCATACATTATAAGGCAAGTGTCCTTCCCCTTTGCTGCACATCTTCTGCCCAGTCCCAGATAGAATTGCAATTACTCTAAATGTCCATTCCAGCCTTGTTTATGCCTGCAAGTTTTGATCCTGCAAAGAATTTAAACTCCAATACAAAGATAACTGAAGTCCATCACTGAAGCAATTTCAAAAAGGACACACACCCTACTCCAACAAGGCCCTAGCGTCATAGGCCTTCTTAAAAGGCTATGTCGGAAAAAGAAAAAAAAAACCAACAAAAACAACAACAACAACAACAACAACAAAAACCCCGACCGTTAATATTATTTTTTTACATGTTTTCTTTGAATTTTACATTGATTTCAGAGATTATAAGAAATGACCGTTAATACTATTTTTTTACATGTTTTCTTTGAATTTTACATTGATTTCAGAGATTATAAGAAATAATGGTGAATTACTTAATTTCCTCCTGGCCAGGACAGGGTTAATTTTTGCAGTAGCCAGGGGAGGCATGGCTAGGACACAGACACTCCTACACCACTTCATGCCATTGCCAGGTGTGGGGAGGACCTACACTGAGGATAAGGATCCCCTTCTCTGAGGAGAAGGGGTTCCTTCTGTTTGATGAGAGGATGGGCCAGGTAATGCTGGCTCCAACCCAGAGTAGCAGGTGAGTACAGGAGAATATTTTTGCATGTGAATCACTCCCTCTCTTTTGTACACTTTAGTTATTAATACTTTTGCTGTTACTGTTAATTTTCTTATCTCATTGCTGCTTCCAGTAAACTGCTCTTATCTCAACCCATCATCTTTCCATTTTGTGACTCCTACTCTCCTCTCCAGCCCACTGCAGGGGAAGGGAAGGAGGGGAGCAAGCAAGAAGCATGTGGTTTGTAGAGTCTCAGTGAGAGCACTAAAGTAAGGAGTACCATTCTTAAATTGCAACACCCCCTAGCTTACTGGGTCATTCAAAGTGCTCTGCCTCTGTGTGTCTGAATAGTTAATGTTTAGGACACACTATAAAATCTCATTAAAAAAAAAAAAAAAACCAAAAACCAAACCCAAACCAAAAAACCTCATTCTGCTGCAGAAAGTGCAACCTCAATAGTACTACAAA